GAGTTGCTGAATGGACTGTCCTTCACAATTCCATATTTATTTGTTTATCTTCCATCTCTCATTATGACCTGTCTGGAAGCTGGCAGAAAAGCAGGGAGGATTTATGAATGTGCCCAAATAGAACTGGGCTTGGGGTTAAAGTCTCTTGTGGCAGCCGCTAGAAAGCAAAAACAGAAACAAACACAGATACAAAATACAGACAGAGCTCCCAGCACAATTGAGTCTGAACAGTTGTTTTAGAGACACACAGGCACATCAGTATTTAGTGTTTGTATTCATTATAGGGTGAGGCTGGCCCAGGCCCCACTTCCTCTTTGATAGACTGAGAAGCCAAGACAGATAATGTGCCTGGAAAAATACTTTCCTGCTTCCACCTTCTCTCCTCATGGCTGTCTTATCTCCCTTGGGCAATTCATCTTCACTGTCTCCCCAGTCTTTGGCCTCCTTCCTCCATGTTCTTGTCATTCCACTCATCTCTCCTCTTTCTAGGATCTGGCAGTTGTATCTTAACACAGGACAGATAGATCCCTCCACTTTTCAAAGTCTTCTCAGTTTGATCCTCATCAAAGAAGAAAGGCTGGATTCCTGTATTGTTTACCATGAAGGAGAGTGAGATTGGTGGAGGTTAGGTGACTTGTCTTCCACTGGTAATTCAGAAATATTACTGAGAAGCTACTACGTACAAAGGAAGGGGCTATATGAAGCAGATGCTATGTCCAGGATTCAGGGTTCACTTGATATGGTTCAGCTGTGTCCCCACCCAAATCTCATCTTGAATTGTAGCTCCCATAATTCCCACGTGTCATGGAGGAGACGTGTCTCCCATGTGTCACCAGTGAGAGGTAACTGAATCATTGGAGCAGGTCTTTCCCATGCTGTTCTCTTGATAGTGAATAAGTCTGAAGAGATCTGATGGTTTTATAAAGGGGAGTTCCCATGCACATGCTCTCTTGCCTGCTGCCATGCCATGTAAGACGTACCTTTGCTTCTCCCTTGACTTCCACCATGATTGTGAGGCCTCCCCAGCCATGTGGAACTGTGAATCCATTAAATCTCTTTCCTTCACAAATTACTCAGTCTTGGATATGTCTTTATTAGCAACGTGAGAACAGACTAATACATCACTCAACCAGTTACACCAGCTGGGACCCAAGTGCCAACATCTTTATTTCTTACCCCTTGTTATCAGGTCTCATGGAAAATCTAGCTTAAGTCTCTTGTTTTAAGAGACCAATATACTGTGTGCTGGTTTCCACTTGACCTTCTCACCCCAATCCAGGCATAGTCTCACTCCATATTTTTCCAGCTAGAGGAGTCTGCTTTGCTCTTATAGTTCATTCACTCATTCCGCAAGTATTTACTGAGCACCAGCTACGTGCCAGGCACTGTCTCAGGCACTAAGAAGTAATAGAAACAAACAATGACAACCCTGCCTCCTGGGAACTTATAGTCTAGCTGGAGATCAGATATTTACCAAACAGTCACAAAAACAGTGGCAGATGGCAGCTCTGCAAGGGCTTTGGGAAAAAAGAATCTGGGGCTGAGAGCTTATAACTGAGGTGCATTTCGGGTTTGTGGGATACTGCTGTGCATAGATGTAGAGGAGAGTATAGCTTCATTGGTGATTGAATGTTTTCATGTCACCCCTTGTGTTTATTAGCGCTGACAACAAAGGCTTAACCCCATAGTGTCCCCACTGCCATCACACTCACCTCTTCTCCTACAAGCACCTCTCAACTGGCCTCCTTGCCTATTTTCTTGGCTCCCTTCAGTCTGTTTTCCACATTAAAACCAAAGAATGTGAACTGGTTTGTGCTGTGTCCCAGCTTAAAACTTTCAATGGCTTTCCAGTGCCCTTAAAATGAAGACCAACAACCCTAATCCCCTCCTCCTCCTGAATACCTCCTCTTCCTCAATGCCTCCCTGGGCTCTCTGGCCCCTCCCTGCCCATCTCACATCTATCACCCCCAGCCCTCATTGCCACAACCACACTGACTCCTCCTTATTTCCTCAGGCACTTGGGGTCTTCACATGTATTTTTCCTTCTCTCTAAAATAACTTGCAGTTCTCCATTCACCTATCCATCTTTCACACATCATCTCAAAGGTGTTTTCTTTCAGGAAGGCTTTCTTGACCACATATTAGAATAGATTCCTAGCTATAGGTTCCTGTGGACCCTTGTCTTGAGAGCACTTTTTCCAGATCATAATCATATTTGCATGGTATTATTAGGATTATGTCAGTTGGACTCCATGAGAGCTAAATCTGTGTCTTCCTCACCATTGTATTCCTGATACCTGGTCCAGTGTCTTCTACCTAGGGAGTAACCAAAGAAAGGATGAATGGCTTCATGGAGAAGTTTATAATCATTATAGTTAAAAGGATAGCCCCAAATCTTATAGTTCAACTCCTTTGATGTATGGACAAAAAATTGGGGAATCAGGCCAGGCATGGTGGCTCACACCTGTAATCTCGGCACTTTGGGAAGCTGAGGCGGGTGGATCACTTGAGGTTGGGAGTTTGAGACCAGCCTGGCCTACATAGAGAAACCCCATCTCTACTACTAAAAATAATAATAATAATGCAAAAATTGGCTGGGGATGGTGGCGGATGCCTGTAATCCCATCTACTTGGGAGGCTGAGGCAGAAGAATCGCTTGAACCCAGAAGGCGGATGTTGCTGTGTGTGAGCCAAGATCGCACCACTGTACTTCAGCCTGGGCAACAAAGTGAGACTCTGTCTAAAAAAAAAAGAAAAAGAAAGAAAGAAATTAGAGAATCAGAGAGGGGAGATGATTTACTCAAGGTCACACAGCAAGTTAAAGGCAGAGCTGGCCTGAGATCATGATTTACAGCTTCTGCCACAATGTTCCATTGCCTCTCCAGAGACTTCCTTTCTCTAGCCTAAAAGTGCTGTTGTTTGAGATCCGTAATGTGTTGGTTAGATGGAGAAACCATCCCCATTAAGTGTTACAGGTTTTCAGGTGAATTATTTAACTCATTAAGACTCATAAGGCCTGAGGATTCATTTGAAACTTTTTTGTCTATAATTAATTTTCAAATTAACTCTAAGGTCTCATCTGAGTACCAGTTCCCACTCACAGGGGGGCAGGCCATGGCCTCTACCCTGTGAGGCAAACCCTCAGCCCTCCTTTCTAAATTAGTTCATTAAAGTCAACAATAAACTGGAGCCTTTTTAAAAAAAACATTTCTCCACCCCAGAAAGGCTTTGCAATGAAGCATGAGGCAATGAGACGCCCCCAGGCAATGCTGTCTCATGGCCAACAAGTGCATTTCCTGAAATCTGACAGGGGAATGAACGTTTGCTCTGCCTCTTGAAGGATATTTATGCACCTTCTGAAGTGTGACCAGGACACAGCTCAAACGTGTCAGATGCTTCCTCTCCGTGAATATGAAATGGCGGCTTCACTGCCTTGTATTACACCCCAGAACCGTGTAGCTCATGTAAGCTTCCGAATGGTGGGCAGTGGAGCGAAAGTAAGACATTCTTAATAGAAAGCTTGGTCCCAGGACTCAACCAGGCAGCACCAGCAGACCAACCAGGGATTTTCCACCAGGCGGAAGAGGTTTTCATCAAGCAGGAGAACTCTGTGGGAAGGAAGGTAACCACGGTGAAGTAAAAAGACTATCCATTGGTAGTTAGACAATTTGAGTTACCAAAAGAAAGTCCCTTCCCCTCTCTGAAGTCTCGGTTTTTCATCTACAAAATAAACTTATCATAATACCTATGTTCACCGTTAATTCACTTTTAAAGTGTCAACTGCTGAAGACATTCTAGGACCTGAAGACATTGCAAGGAGCAAGGACACATTCCTTGCCCAAGTAGAGTTTACATTTAAGGAAGGAAGATAGATAATTAAATATATGTTTACCTGATACTTGTATACTGCCAATTAAAAGTGTCATTGAAGGGATAAAAGGAGATACAAATAGTGGTTAATGTTTAACGCTACGTGCCGGATATCATGCCAGGCATTTACATGTAATAATAATAACAGCAACAAGTGTAATATGGGCCAGGCACTATTTTGTGTGTGTTTTACATGTTAACACATTTAATCCTCATTTAAAAATACGTACTGGCCTGGGCAACACAGCAAGACCCTGTTTCTACAAAAAGTTTTAAAAATTGTCAAGGCATACTGGCACACACTTATAGTCCCAGCTACTTGGAGGCTGAAGCAGGAAGATGGCTTGAGCTCAGGAGTTTGAGGTTGCAGTGCATCATGGTCACCACTGAAGTCTGACTTAGATAACAGAGCAAAGTCCTGCCTCTATTTAAAATAAAAAATTAAATGCTGGGTGCATTGATTCACGCCTGTAATCCCAGCACTTTTGGAGGCCGAGGTGGATGGGTTGCTTGAGCCCAGAAGTTTGAGACCAACCTGGGCAACATGGTGAAACCCTGACTCTACCAAAAATACAAAAATAAAATAAAAAAAAATTAGCCAGATGTGCTGGCATGCACCTGTAGTCCCAGCTAATCATAAGGCTGAGGCTGGAGGTCACTTGAGCCTGGGAGGTGGAGGTTGCAGTGAGCTGTGATCATGTCACTGTACTCCAGCCTAGGTGACAGAGCAAGACTCTCTCAAAAGAAAATTGAACATTAAATAAATACTATTATCCCCATTTTATAACTTGCCCAAAGTCACACAGCCACTAAGGGGCAAGACCTATGCAGCCTGGGCAGAGGTCTCTATGCTATGTGCTGCCTCTCATGATAGTATCATCTCATTTAACCCTTGCAACAACCTGGCAAGTACAAGTGTTATTCTTATCTTACAGATGTGGACACAGAAGCAGAATGTGTAAGTAACTAGTCTGAGTTTGCACAGCCAGGAGGTGGTAGGGCAAGACGAGACCCACAGTGGTTCCTCCTGGGATGCACGTGAGGTGGGCTGGCCCAGTGTCCAGCCCCAGGAAACTGGTCCCTCTGTAGCCAACTCTCTTACTGTCTTTCCTGTCCCTGTTCTTGCTTAGGTGTTCCTGAAGAGCGACCGTGTGGCCCGCATGGTGCAGAGTGGAGGCTGTTCTGCCAACGACTCCCGGGAGGTCTTCAAGAAGCACATTGAGAAGAGGGTGCGCAGCCTGCCCGAGATTGATGGCCTCAGCAAGGAGACTGTGCTGAGCTCCTGGATGGCCAAATTTGATGCCATCTACCGTGGAGAAGAGGACCCCCGGAAGCAGCAGGCCCGGATGACAGCCAGCGCAGCCTCCGAGCTGATTCTGAGCAAGGAGCAACTCTATGAGATGTTCCAGAACATTCTTGGGATCAAGAAGTTCGAACATCAGCTCCTGTACAATGCCTGCCAGGTAAGGCGTTTCTCACCTGGGCCCAGAGCTGTGGGTAAGCAGAGCTGCATTCCAACTTCTATGAGATGCTTCTTGATTTTTTTTTTAATGGATTAAAAGTTATTACTCTACTGGTAAAAAGTTGAATACAATTTAGGCAACATTATATTCATGCTTTTCTTCTTCTTAAAAAAAAAAAAAAAAAAAATCTGTGAGCTCCTAAAAGTCCCAGGGGCCCTAGGCACTGAGCTCATTGTGTCTAATGGGTAAGTTGGCCCTATGAGTAAGGTCTGGTTTCCATGTGTCAAAAGTGCTAAAAATCAATTTTTAAAAAAATATGGTTCTGCCTTTGGTGTTTGCCAGTGGAAGGGCTTGTGCTTCCTCAGGTGGGAAGACAACTGAACTTAGCACCTGCCTGTCAAGAGAAATTTTTTAAAATGGGAAATTTGCACAAGGCCTAATACCTGTATATTAGTCACATCATGAATTTCTGAGTGGTTCTGATAGTGAGAGCTGAGGCTCTGCTTGGGTCCACCCCAAAATGGGCCTATATTTCCTCTAGATAGAGGACCGGGAAAGCGAGGTGTCTCGTATCTTGATATCCTACCTAACCTTAGCATTATATTCATTTATTCAATAAATATTTATTATGTGCCTATTTTGCAGTCTGGAATTCTTACTGGGTGTCTCTTAGGAGCAGTTTAAAAATGCACATTCCCAGCCCCTAGCCCTAGAGATTCTCATTCTGCAGCCTCAGAGCATGGCCCAGGAATCTGCATTTTAAATAAGGGCCTTCCTTCCTGGTAATTATGTGCCCTTCGCCTTCAAAGAATTATCAGAGAGATTCATCTTTGCCTTGTTTGCTAATATTCCCAGTGTATAAAATCTTGACACATAGTGAATGCTCAGTAAATGTTTATCGAATTAATAAATGGATAATGGAAAATTATTTTAACTAGTAGGTAGGGTCTTATCAACTATGATATATCACCTAGAATTTTCTGGATGCTTTAGTAAGAGTTTGTTTAGCATTTCATAATACAACACATGCATCACATTCAAAGATATTGGTGGTATCTACTTTCATGTCATCCAACTTTAATTGAAAACATTGATTACAAATCTGGAGATGAAAGATTTCTGTGATGGGTCAAAAAGTATTTTGAAATTTCAAATATCAATATAAAATTACATTTAATCATTTTTATTTAAAATGTAACTACATCCTACCAGGTAGCACTTTTAGAATGGGATAAGCAGGTGGCGTCAGCCTCCACCACCACTATCACCTCCACCAGCATGTCCACCACAAGAAGGTGTCCTAGCTTCCATATTGAAAAGTCATCCACCTGAATTATAAGCAAGATTCCGAATTACAGAGAGAGTCAAGTGTTCCCAAACCTTCTAGGCACAAAATTATTCTAGGGATTAATTTTTCTTCTTATTGCAACAGCGTATCATGCATATTTTCTGTGCTTGCCCAAACCTCAGCATCATTGGAATGAATCCATTGCTATGCCATTTCTTGTCTTATCTCAGTGGCAGGATCATATTTTACTCTTTTCTCCTAAAAAATGAATTAATCCAACTCATTTTACCCTCAACATCTTTTTTGTGAAATAGAAAAAAGTGCAATAATATTAAAGAATATTGTCTTCTCTCCCCAGAATAAAGATTGTACTCTTAAAATAAATTAATCCAACTCATTTTACCCTCAACATCTTTTTTGTGAAATAGAAAAAAGTACAATAATATTAAAGAATAATACCTTCTCTCCCCAGAATAAAGATTGTACTCTTAGCCAAAAAGAATTACAAGATAGGACACGCACAGTGGCTCAGACCTGTAATCTCAGCACTTTGGGAGGCTAAGTGGATTACCTGAGGTCAGGAGTTCAAGATCAGCCTGGCCGACATGGTGAAGCCCTATCTCTACTAAAAATATAAAAATCAGCCAGGCATGATGGTGGATGCCTGTAATCCCAGCTACTAGGGAGGCTGAGGCAGGAGAATTGCTTGAACCCGAGATCATGCCACTGTATTCCACCCTGGGCAACAGAGCGAGACTCTGTCTCCAACAAAAAAATTACAAGATAAAGGAAAGTACTTCTTCTTGGGACAGGGCTACTGTATTTTACTCTCTATTGTTTAGTATTTTACTCTCTATTCATATCTAAATCTGATTATTGTTTCAGGGTTTCATATCAATAGGAATTAGGGCAAAAGAAGATATGTAATTTACACATACAAAAATACACATGAATTCTAAATATATGGTTTTGATTTGTATGTCTTTAGTAATCTAAGTTTAAGGAGTGTATTGGCAAATGAAAGTATTTTAAAAGAAAGAAAACATTGGTCATGATAATATTTCACAACATGTAATACCCATTTCTATGACAATATAGAAATGGCTATTCTCCAAACTTACTGTGGCAATAAATTCTTAATGCAGCCTTTCTGTAATCTGTCAGTTTGCAGCAGAACACCTTTATAATGGGAAAACTTTTTGACCTAGGAGCTCCGCCTTTAGGAATTCATTGCAAGTAGGTACTCAGAAGTGTGTGCAAGAGTGTGAAGTCCAAAGATGTTCATTGCATCCTTTTATATGACAGCAAAAAAATGGAAACATGCTTAATTCCCAACAGTATAGGATTAATTAATTAGATTTTGATTTAACCATACAAGGGAATATTCATTATCCAATAGAACAGCAATAAAAGAATTATTAAAGAAGAAAGCTTGCCATGTGGGAAAATGTTCCTTAGATATTGCTAAGTAGAGAATCTGGCTGTGAAGCACAGTATGCAGACACAGTCCCATTTCTATGGGAAAAAAATGATGGAAAAAGGTACTGGACAGGCAAATAACAAAATGTTAACTGTGCTTATCTTTAAAGGATAGGATTATGGTTGATTTTTATGATTTTCATTTATACTTTTTTCTGACTCCAAATTTCTACCTTAAACACAGTTATTCTGTAAATGAAAACAAATACCAAAAGTCTCAACAAAGAAACCATCAGAACAATGAGATATGAAGAAAATTATCTTCTGAATTGTTTTCTAGACTTCTAGACATACCACCTTCATGATTTTTGCCATTTCTGAGTACTAACTACCTGGATGCTTATTTAATATTTCTTATTAAACCAACTCCCAAATTCACCTTTTTTGGTTTTTGTTTTTTTGGGAGATGAAGAGTCTCACTCTGTCGCCCAGGCTGGAGTGCAGTGGCACAAGCTCGGCTCACTGCAACCTCCACCTCCCAGGTTCAAGCGATTCTCATGCCTCAGCCTCCTGAATAGCTGGGATTACAGGCACGCACCACCATGCCTGGCTAATTTTTGTATTTTTAGTAGAGATGGGTTTTTCCATGTTGACCAGGCTGGTCTCGAACTCCTGACCTCAGGTGATCCACCCACCTTGGCCTCCCAAAGTGCTGGGATTACAGGCGTGAGCCACTGTGCCTGGCCCCAAGTTCACTTTTTAAACCTGTCATTATTTTAGGTAATGTACATAAAATCACAGCTTTGATATATTCTTTTTACAAAAAATAATATGCATTAAAGTGAAACCTAACTATTAAAATAGAAACTTTTCATTGGCTGGCCCTCTTAGATCATCTCACACCACAGTGAGGCAGAAGGCATGGTGATAGTAGCCAGTGCCCTGATGCACTGAGGCTGGTGGGACAGAGCTCTCTGACTCCATCCCTGAAGATAGCCCCAGACTGAGCACAACAGCATTCATCTGAAGTCTGCATCGGCAGGCAGCAAAGCAGAGATTTAATTTACCTCCCTCCTCTTTCCTTGCTGGCAGGCTGTATGTAGACAGGCAGCAAAGATAGTGTACCTGTCATGCCTTACCATCAGGTGTCTGAAATTATAGATTTACTCACTTTCTCGCAGACTACACTCTCAGTTCTACCCAACTCATATCAACTCACAGGAGCAAGAATACAGAAATGATATAATATCACTTTCATTCTCACTCTGCTGAAATTGTTTCTTGTTTAATTTTTTATTTTCCGGACCTTCTTCTCCTTACCAAACAAAGCAATTTCTAAGTGCTTCCCAAACCCAAAATGTGCTTCATGTTTTCCTCTTATGCGTATCATATCCTAGGGGAAGCTGTAATCGGATTTCTGCTGCTGCTTTGTGAAAGTTCCCATGCTCTCTCTTTATAAGGTTCTGCCAGTAACTGCCATTTTTTCTCAAATGAGAAATGACATTTATCAAAGGGTGATTATATCAGTTGCATATCAGTTGTCTGTTGTAACATGAACCATGTCTATCAAAACATAAGAGAAAAGCAAGAGAGTTTAACAAGTGTCTCTGAATTTGCACACGGAGTTTCTTAGCGTCTATTCTGTTTCTTTGAGAATCAGTGGATAAATCTCATAGAAGAAGTTCATACTCAACATACTATCCAAAGTAAAATGGCAAATTTTATTATGAATCAGTGTTGTTTTTATTTTTCATAGACCCTTGGGAAGGTGCAGTCTATTATGTAGCTATTTGAGTTGAATTCTAAAGGTAACTCAAAAAATATAAGGTAGGCTGAGCACACAGCTCCATTCCAGCACTTTAGGACACCAAGGTGGGAGGGTTACACAAGTACAAGAGTCTGAGACCAGCCTAGGTTCCACCTCTACAAATAATTTTAAAACTAGCTGGGTGTGGTGGCATGTACCCGTAGTGCCAGCTACTTAGGAGGCTGAGGCGGAAGGATCACTTGAGCCTGGGAGGTCAGGGCTACGGTGAGCCATGATCTCACCACTGCACCCTAGCCTGGGTAACAGAGTGAGACCCTGTCTCAAAAAAAATTATTTTTATTTTATTTTTTTAAGATGGAGTCTCACTCTGTCACCCAGGCTGGAGTGCAGTGGCGCAATCTCGACTCACTGCAAGCTCTGCTTCCCTGGTTCATGCCATTCTCCTATCTCAGCCTCCCGAGTAGCTGGGACTACAGGCGTCCACCACCACACCTGGCTAATTGTTTGTATTTTTAGCAGAGACGG